ATGAACTCTCTTCGCGATTGGGATCAACCTCCCAGGCAGGAAGCAGCATGGAAGCCTTCTACCTCAACAGAGCATGCTGAGCTCAAAACCTGAAGCAGAGCGCAGTTTTCAACACACGAGAGCCAAAGCCAACAGCCCAGAGCCTCCCAAAACTATCCGAGAAACCCTCCAAGTGAGATGGGTATTTGCTCTAAATTTGCTCTAATTTTTGGTCCCTTGTAGGGCCCTGGTTGTAGGGTGCCGTTCTGTTCTTGGGGACCTAAAACGGGACCCTAATTCAGGGAACTACCCACGCTTAGACCCCTCTCAGCACTAAGCCGCAGCTCTCCGATCCGGACCGACGGTGCTTCAGGGCTTCGAATTTGCTTCCTATAATATATTGGAAATTACATAATTTACTATATGTATTTATCTTAATCTGCTATAACTAATATGCTAGAATTTTCCAGAAAATACTGTATTTTATCATATACTCTAATACAGGACTTAGTACGTAGAGTTCCAAGTGCCTGATCTTGCCTTATCTCAGGTTCGAAGTTGATACAGCCATAAACCTGAACCTCATACCCCTAGACCCTAAACCTGAAACCCTAAGCCCTAAAACCATAACCCTGGTTCGGAGGGTTACAGTGGCAGGCCTATGGGTGAACTTTACTTGCTATAAGATCCTGTAGCCTATAATGTACTGTATTGTACGAAAGTTACTATAGTATCTTATAACCTAGAATGTACTATAATTACTATAATATCCTAAAACCTAGAATACACCATAGCTACTATAATATGCTGTCATATACTAAGCCCCCAGTGGCAGGCCTATGGATGACCGCCCGACTGCAGGGGGCGGCGAAGAGTGTGGATGTGGCGGCCGGGTGCCCAAGGGAGGTGAGGGAAAGTTTCGGTTTGGTATTTTGGCGAGGAGGGCGGGGGACTACAGTCCCAAAGTCCTGTGAAACGCGAAGAGTAAAATAAAACGATAACCATGTTAAGGGTCAAGCAAATGGGTGGGGGTTTTCACGCACCCTGTTGTGGGGTTTATGTGCTTCCTTTATTGGAGGAGTTTAGGGTGTCTAGGGTTCAGGGCTTCGGGTCTTGGTGGTTTTCGGTTTAGAGCTTCGGGCACCAGCACATCACAGGATAACCCTTAATCAGCGGAGCCCCGAACAATGCACATTGTCTGGTGTGCCAAGCGCGATCCGCAAACTTCGCTCTAAAGCAAGGCTCCTCCTGCGACTCCCAGAACCCGCAACCCAGGATCCCTAGCCTCGTCATCAACAGACCATAATAAGCCGAAGAACTCCAACCCAAACCGTGGAGCATGAACGCTGTATGAACCGTGAACCTAAGCCCACAGTCTTTAGAACCAGGTTTAGTGAGGCTAACCCTACACCCTAGTATACTTGGCTACTTCGGCCCTTGCTCCTGAAAGAGTCTGTAAGGGCTTTGAACTTCCGGGCTTCAGATTTGGTTTAGGGTTTCGGGCTTTAGGGTTTTAGGGTTTAGGGTTTGTTGTGTTTAGGGTTTGGGGCTTTAGGGTTCAGGGTTTTAGGGTTTAGGCTTAGGGTTTGTTGTGTTTAGGGTTTTAGGGTTCAGGGTTTAGGGCTGAAGGCCTTGCGGGGCTGAGCTTTTGGGGGATAGGGTTTGGGGTTCAGGGTTTAGGGCCTGCTCCAGCACCATATTCTAGTAGTCCGGCCCCAATCCCTAAACCCGAAACCCTAAACCCTAAACCGGATGAATTTGCTGCCAGGGAGTTTCGAGGGAGTGTGGACAGCCTGCCCGTTCTGGGCTCACTGCTTCGGTGGACAAAGGCCCTCAAAAAAAAAAACGGATGAATTTGATGGGTTTCAGGGCTTAGGGTTTAGGGCTTCAGGGCCAGAGGTTGGGGCACAGGCACATCCCGCGCAGAAGCGAGCTGCGTAGGAAGTTCCCACTGGGATGTCATCCACTGAGAAGGTTTAGGGCTTAAGGTTTAGGGTTTAGGGTTTAGAACCAGTAGGGCATTTGACCCAAAGGCCCCTTCCCATCTGAGGCCTTGAGGCCTTGGAGCCCGAGGATTAGGGCTTGTTTCGGGTTTAAGGTTTAGGATTGCAAGTTTAGGGTTTAGGGCTTAGGGTTTGGGGTTCAGGATTGCGGGTTTAGGGTTGCGGTTTAAGGTCTAGGATTGCGGAGTCTAGGGTTCGGGGAGTGTAGGGTTTGGGTTTGTGGCTGTGGGTTTGGGATTTACTGGCCCAGGGCTTGGATTCCCAGGTCTTACGGCTCCACGCAGGAGGAGAATCGCCAGCCTGAGCCTTTGCTGGTGCTGCTTAGAGAGCCCGGAACCCCCTTAAGACTTCTTGTTAAGATTAATATATGTTTATTGTGTTTGCCACTACTCTTATTCTGAGGCTAAGTCTTAGGGTTTAGGCTATATGGCTCAACCAAGGGGCATGACGCTTTCTGGGAGTTCCGGAAAAAGGGGCGAGGGCTTGAGGGCAAGAGCTTGGTCTAGTCGCCGCTTCTTCTCTGAGTGCATCTGCTTGTTGTTGGTTGGCTTCGGGAACCCTGAGCCCTAAACCCTGAACGGCCCCAAACCCGAAGCACCCTAAGCCCCAATAGCTTCAGGGTGGGTCTGGTGGTCATCGTCCGTCGAGGCTTGGGTTTCGGGGCAGGGCGGAGGTGACTGCTTAGCATGTCTGCCTTCATGGGACCTGAAAACCAACCGTTCTGAACTCCACTGATCCAAGAAAGAACCCCCGCCCCCTTGGAAGGCGGGGATCCTCGCCGGGACCCTCGCCCAGGTAGGGGTGCCACTCGTCTTCTCAGAGCGGCTGCCGAGGTGGGCTGGCTCCAGCAGGGTTGAACTAGAGCAGAGCAGATGTATGGGGGGTGTAGAACGGTGTAGAGTGTAGACACTCAACACGTACACGCGTTTCGACGAAGAACGCTGGGTGACGTAGTTCAGGTATCCTCTCAGTCGAGGCCGTAGATTGATCTTACCTGCTGGCTTGTTTCCGGGTTTGGCTTCCTGTCCAAAGTGGTATGTGTTGGTCAGGGCAAACTCCAAAGTTAGCTTGCAGACGCCGAGGGTGCGGGGCAGACAGCCTGAACCCTGAACCCTGCAGCCTATACACCCTCGTCAAAACCCTAAACCGTAAACTGTAGGTGTACGAATCTCCGCCGAGGCAGGGCGAGCGGGTGGCGGTCTGCGGCATGACGCAGTTTGGGACGGAGGCGAACGGGGCTTCAGGCTCCAGGCGACTATGACCATAAACATTACTGTCCTTGTTATCGTTGTTGTTATGGTGATGATGACGGTCATGATTGTTGCTTGTGGTTCTCCGACGGCGGCGGGTTCCTGTCTTTTCAGATTCTCGTGATGACGCATGAATCCGGAAGGACAAATCCCGAAGCCAGTGAGGTTCGGAGGGTTGTTCCGCTCATCCGGCTTTTAAGGTCGATTTTCCAATCTGTGCCTTGAGCCCTACAGGACACAACTCAGTAAGACCCAGAACCCATTTGGAACCCGTCGCTCTTCCACCCTGAATTATAAAAAAGATTCCGACACCGAACCCTCAGCCGGTATTGTAGAAGCCAGAAAGTTGGTGCGTCATGATGCCCATACCCTGTCGGCAGAGTATAGAGAACCTCCGGCATGAATGATTTTTAGAGATTGCAGTAGGTAGCTCCTCAAAACCCGAACCCTTTACCCAGACCCCCAAACTTTAACCCCAAACCCTGAAGCCTAACTCCTACACCTAGATGCTGTTTGCGATTTTTCTGTAGCCAGCTGCTCTTTCCCAACCCACGAAGTAGTAGTATCGCAAGCACCCCGACAAGACTAAGATCAGGTTCCTTCTTTACAATTATGAGACCCTGTAATTTCCTGTAAGACATTCATGAATACCCTCTGGAGTTCTTAGAAGATGTCCAGAAAATAACCAACCCTCCTGAGCTCCTCCCCCCCATGAACCCTAAACCCTAAACCCTTCCCACCCTGTTGTGGTGAGCCAGGTCATTGGTCTGTCTGGCCTTGTGAGCCAGCCGAGGCTGAAGCTGTCAGGGTCTTTGAAAGGTTCCTTTAAGAACTTTAACAAAAGCCATTGTTTGTAATGTTGTGGACCCCTAAGGGCTTAAAGTCTAGGATCCTTGCTATTCCTTCACCCCACAGAAAGGGACTCATGGCACCCGGTGCTAAGAGGTCCAAGAACAAGCAGCTCGCTTAAGTTGCCTTCTCAAGTTGTCTGGGATGTAGGGCCCTTATTTTAAAACCTCCTCCTGTCTGTCATGAAGCGTGTGCATGGGGCCTATCCCAATCCGAATGCGCAGCCATACAGCGTAAAGCCCTATATAACCCCAACCTCCAATCCCCTAAATCCAAATCCTACCTGTGATCCCAAATCCCTTTAGAACACTGCTACCTCCAAGAATCAGAGAAAAGTTCTTGACCGGAGAATGCGCGTGCTTGATTTCCCAGCGCCTACATGAGGGCATTTAGCTTTGTTCCGCAGCTCCCAGGCGTATCAGGAGTAGTAAGAGGAGTGCCAGCAGCTACAGACCTATTTCTGGGACATGCGCCCCGACAGGCTGACAGGCAAACCCATCTTTGATAAGCAGGTAGGCCTATAATTAACATTGTAGAAATGTGAAGTTGATGTGTCTCGCACCGGGCAATAGAGGAGCCAGTAGTTCGAGCACTCGTCTCAGAAGGGCTGAATGGAGGAAGGTGAGCGAGTGGTCGCTACAGCGTATGCGCAGTTTTGCTGCCAGCCGATCAATCAGTCACAGTTGGCTCCAAGCTGGTTACTTAAACAGCCCTCTCCTGTTGAAATCTCAACTCATACGTGTTTTCGCTTCAGTTGTCGTGCGTGCACACACACACACACAGTGACGTTGTCCACTTTTCATCGAAGAACCCAACTAAACCGGGCGAGACATTTTAACAACTTCCAAGCAGCACATAGACAAGCCAGCACCACCTACATCGCACCATGGATGGTCTGTTCGCGGATGCATTGACGCCCATGGGGCCTGCGTACACCTTCTGGGACTTGCACCGTATGTTGGCCGATTGCTATTCGGCAGATGTGGCGGAGCAGAGGTGGCAGAGCCTTAGTGCTGCCTTTTAACACGTCCCAGAAGGGGGCTTAAACATGTGTAGGGCCAACCATACGACCAGCACTCAAAGGGTCCTACGCACCTATATGGTAGAATGTAGGGTTTCTGGAATATGAATTACTACGATGGTTTGGGCAAATATCCCCCAATATAGGTACTTAGGACTCTTTTTTTGGGCAGATAATACCCTGAACCCCAAAAAAGATTCCTAAACCGTTGATAAGGCCAGAGCATTCGAAATCCCGGCACTACAATCGGCAGCACTCAGCCGGCCCAGACGCCCATGGAGTGAGATTCTGGGTTCTTGTTAAGGGGTTTAATTCAAGTTATCATAATAAAGAAGCCATATGATTTACTATAGATCCGTATTATTATGGTCAATTATTTAGTATGGATGATTCCTATTGTGGTAACTTAAATTACATCTCTTAACAAGAACTCAGGATTCGCAGACCTTCCACCCAGGCGAGACCTCTCTCGTCGCTCCAGCCATAGCCATCATAGCCAAGAAAGGACCCCACCCGTGAATTGCCATCCCAATCCTCCTGAGGAGGCTTGTAGTACGCTGGCAAGGCTCCAGAAAGGAAGAACGAAAGACTCCTTGCACAATCTGCTGAACCTGCACGGATTCGAGGCCGATTCAAAGGAGTCAGAGGAGATTGATATGACCAACTTCCAGCTAAAGGCTCACGCATGTTGGCAATCGGATGTGCAACTCAAGAAAGCTGGGACCACGACGCAGCGTTCGAGGAAATCTGCCAGCATGTCGGTGCTGAGCAGCAATGCGTCGATGCACATCAGCTCTCCAGTGACAGAGGGCGACATGGAATCGACTGCCAGTTCGAAACTGAGCGGCAGAGTAAGTTACGTGTTTTACCTTTCTGGGGGTACCACAGTTAGATTCTAGAGGAAGCGGACAAGCTAGGAGATTCATATTGCATCCAAGTGGCACATTCCGATCCTGCTGGAACGTTTGGATAGGCATCTTGGTTCTCTACGATCTCCTCGTCATTCCGTTGCTTGTCTTCACGCTGCCTCCATGGATAAACAACTTCTTGGGCCTGCGATCCCTGCAACTCTTCTGGATTGCAGACTTTGTCATAACGTTCTTCACTGGTTACTACAGCCGGGGTCTTCTGGTGCTTGCTCCTCGGCCGAATTTCCTGCGAGTTGCTTCAAGTGTGGGTGGGACTTTCGGCGCATGCTTCATGCAGGAAGAACCATGATCACTTGTAGTCTACAACACCATATACCCTGAACGCTAAACCGCTAAACCCCAAGCTCTGAACCCCACAAAGCCCTAAACCCTAAACCTTGACCCTGCTGCCCAAGACAGACTCGGCCATACGATAGCAAAGTTGAATTATTCTCGGAGTCCCAAAGTACATACAAATATACAGATATGTCTGCATGTATAATGTACGTACAGAAACATTCTCAATCATATTAATGGTTACATATATATATATATACACTCATACAAATATGCAGAGTTCTATATCCAGGGACAGAAAGAGAGGTCAAGTGTGATATACGGCCCAAACATCTCATTCTTAGCAAGGTGAAAGGCCTGGAAGCCTGACCCTCCCCTCTGCCGTCATATAATGTAGAAGCCTCGATTATATTCCCTAGGTTTCTTTCTTATAAATGTACCAAAAAGGAGCCCGAAACCCTAGCCCAATTAATAAGGCCCCTACATTAGGGGTGTCAAGGGTGTTGGGGTATGGTATAGTCCAATCATCTTGGACCGGTTTGTTGATTCATTTGTAGGAGTGTGATTAGTATTGCCATTAGTGTTACTGGTTTTCTTGTTTTGTTGTTGTTATTGTCGTTGTTGTTGTTATTCTTATAGCTAGTATTAGTTCACGCCTTGAAGCTCCAGCGGCTGCAGGATCGATGCAAAGTCGCCCAGCAGTATGCCCGAACCTGGATGTGTTTCGATCTCGGTCTGCTCTGTGTGGACCCTTGGGCTTCAGAGGCCAGAGCCTGGAATACACCTGGTTTAGGGAATTTCGGGTTTGGGGCCTCGGGCTGAGGCTTAGGGGTTTAGGGAGCTGGAACCGTCGCCTGAGACATCGATTTGCTGAGCTTTTTACGGTGGTGCTGGCAGCAGGTCGACTGGCGGTAGTCCTCTATGTCGACGTAGAGAAAAAGAGCAAGAGGAAACTCACGAGACTTGAAATGGTGGTCTCGCAGTGGCAGCGGTGGAACGTTCATCTCAGACAGTAGAGTCTACCCTCGTCAAGAAGTCTGGTATGAGGGAGCCGTGAACCCCTACACTTTAACCCCCAAGCCCCCCTCAACCCCGGACCCTAAACCTCGAAGCCTCAAACCCTCAAGGCCTCAACCCTAAACCCCAAAAGCCATGATCCCTTCAACCCCCCCAAGCATCGAATCCCTCCGCGCTGAGGACTGGTTCATCAACATCCTCGATCTCTCCGCGGCCGACAGCCCCGAGACCTGGAGCCAGACGGTGCGCATGCTACGTCTCCTTCGGCTCCCCAGAGACTTTAGGTGGTTTAGGGCCCTTTATAGGGTTTAGGGTGTAGTGTTGCAAGGCTCCCCACAGATTTATGTTGTTTAGCGCCCCTTTAAGGTTTAGGGTTTAGGGCTGCAGAGGTTTAGGATTTCGGGGCTCAGGGTTTTGGGGCTTACGATTTATGCTAGTATGGGGGTTTATGAGGTCTAGGGATCTAGCAGTCTAGCGGGGTCTAAGGTTTAGGGATAAAGGGTGCTGAGCAGCGTTGATGCCGTTGAGGGTATGCCTTGGGTCGTGCTGGGTAGTTTGGGGTTCCGGGTATTCTACGGGTGTCTTAGGCATGGGAATTGGCTTAGGGACGAGAGTTTGGCCAAGGTCGTCAGTATCCGTGGAGGTTGACAGTTAATGCTGTCCTCGGTAGTAGTAGTTGCTCAGTCCGTTGGGCATTGAAGCTGTTTGGAGTTTTGGCTGCGGGCTGTATCAGACTAAATTTCCCGACTTTGGACGGTTTTTTTCGGGCTTTCAGGCTTCAGGAAGTGTTTTCATGCATGCAGAATCTCTGACTCAGAAATTCCTTAAAGTCTTCAACCCCAGAACCGTGCAGGGGAGCTCTAAACGCAGAGCCATCCAAGGCTCCTGCGGATCCTCCGAGCAGTCAAGCTGCGCCGGGGGTTTCTGGCTGTTCAAGACTTGCTCCACTCCCAGGCAACAGTGGCAGAGGTATGGGTGCGGGGTTTAGGGCTCGGGGTCCGTTTAGGGCTACAGGGGTTCTATTCGGATCCAGCTGTCGAAGCTGGAACAGTGAGTCATGAGACGCTGAGGCTTCCCTATTATAACCACATGTGCTGTACCCCCAAAGCCCTATACTAGTTTTTGAAGGCCGCTGAGTTACTTCTAGGCCTTCCGAGCTCAGGCGGCGAGCCTTTATCTGAGCTTCTTCTTCAGCTTCTTCGAGCTTCTGATACTCAACCACTGGGTGGCCTGCGCCTGGTTTGGGGTGCATTGGCTGAATAGCTCTGAGAACTGGGTGCTGGCAAGTGGCCTCGATGACAGGGACGCGGTCTTCCAATATTTAAGCTGCCTGCTCTGGGCATTTTGCCAGCTCGGTGTGGGCGAAAGCCCGCTCCTTCCCACCAATAAGATGGAGATGGTCCTGAACAGTGTCGTTGGATTCCGGTCCCTGGTCACCTCAGCAACTCTCATCAGCAGCGGCCTCATCGCTGGCTTGCGCAAGCTGAGGGAAGATGAGATTTCCGAGTTCCGTCTCTTGCGCAGATATCTGCAGCAAAACAGCATTCCGCACGCCCTGGGCCAGAAGGCCATCCGAAAATCCTAAAACCAATAGAATCCTAAGCCTTAAAAGCCCTACAAAGCCCTAAACCACAAAACGCCGACAGGTCACGCAGTTTCTTCAGCATCAATATGCGGAGAGGCAGCATGAAAGGTCATTACATATGCATGTGCCACTCCTGAGCCTACTGTCTCGGCTCATGTACCAAGAGCTCCAGTGTCTGGGCCCTTCTTAAGCAAATTAAAATTATATTGAGGGTGTAGGGCAGTGTAGGGTTTAGGCGTTAGGGCTTTGGGCTTTAGGCTTGTGGGTTTAGGGTCTAGGGTTAGGGAAGTGTGCTCTACTGAGTTAGGAAGATAAGTTTGTACATCAAATCGAGTGTTTTCCTTGCTGTGGCAACGCGCAAGCTAGTGTAAAGCAGTTGAACACCTCTACAACTCCTGGAAAATGCTTCTATAACCCCCTTATACTGTGCTCTCCTTAGGCATCATGGGTTGTCTTTGTTGTAGTCCAAATTCAAGCGGTTGTTAAGCATACTGTTTGCATTAGGAGTGCAAAGTCCGATGAGCATATAGTACTGTACAGAGGTCGTAAGATTTTTGTAATAACAATCCCTCAGCCCCGATGTACTATACTATATAATACACCTCAGAACCCTTCGCTAATTGCACCGACCTCCTCATCAACACACTTTGAGTCCCTTAAGAAGTTCCAGGTTTGAGAGACATCGCGTGGCACTCTCGAAGATTGGCGTAGTGAGGGAACTCCTTGAGGTTGGGACGGAGCGCTTGCACTTGGGTAGCTCTCTAAATTAGGGTCCCTGTAGGGGGTCCCTTTAATGGGGACCCTAATTTAGAGAACTACCCACTTCGTGAGTTAAAGGGCCTTAGGGTTTTAGGGTTTGGCACTTCCTGAATTTAAGGGTCTTGGGGTTTAAGGTTTGGGGTGTGGCACCTCGAGAATATGCAGGGGCTTACAGTAGGGTTTAGGGCTTAGCAGTTCGTGAATGTAAAGGTCTTACGGTTGAGGGCTTAGGTCAGGGTAAGTATAGATGCCTGCAGAATCAATGTTCAGACTAGGTGTATACATGCATACATATATACATGTATACATGTGTGTATATATATATATATGTCGATCCATCATGTATACATGCATATACATATACAGCTGTAGGTACTGTTTCGCATATGAATATGAATGAAACTATAAATACACATGTCCATGTAATGTACATGTGTATATATATATATACACATGTATGTATGTATGTATGTATGTATGTATGTATGTATGTGTATATATATATATGTATTTCATAACGATATGCTACTTCCTCATGGATCTACCGTTTCCGTCTTTTGTGAAGCCGATGCCTTCCTCTATGTACATATGCCATATATCGGGACTACAAGGGCCATCGATTTCCAAGCATACAGGCCCCTATAATATGCCTCACGTTGTTAAGGGCCTGAAGCATCACCGAATGCTCGAGAAGGTGAAAATCCTGCAAGCTGCACCATGAGCCATAGATGTAAATCCGAAGCACTGTATGCACCTTGCGTCCGGACTCACACACCTTGATCGTCCTGCAGGGGGATGAGGTGCATTGTCTGCACACCTTGCATCAGCATCTTGTTGGCAGAAAGCATTTGGCTTACGATCGAAACCACACTGACCAGGAAAGTGAGGAGGATCGTGCTCATTTCTGTGAGTTTACTAAGGATAAGAACTACATATGGCAAGTGTTCTTACCCTAACCTTCTCTTGGCTGGCAGTAGGCTTGGGGCCTTCGGGCCTTTCGGCCCAGGGGCTTTGTGACTCAACGCTGGGGTTTATGATGTTTAGGGTTTAGGGTTTGCTTTTAGGNNCCCCCCCCCCCCCCCCCCCTCCAAACAACACCCTGCTGAAGCAAAAGCCCGAAACCCGCAAAACCTACACCTTCTACCTCAAGCCCCAAACCCTAAACACCCTAAAAAAAATTTTCAAACCCTATATAAAACCCTAAATACCTCAAAGTCAGGATGGCCAGTGAAAGCCTCGCTCCGATTCTCGGGGCCGCTGGTGATTCGATCTTCCTCAGCGGCCACGTCGCGAAATCCTCGTTCCTGATGATGACCGGAGCTCCAGCCTCCATTTGTAGTCTCTTTTTCTGGTTTATAACCGGTTCTAATAGTAAGGATCCTCAAAAAGAAACTACGGAGCTCTGACCGAGTGGTAGAGTAGGAGGCTTTTAACCTTGGAGCCCTGACAGTTTTTTTCCAAAGGTTGTTATGGGGGAATGCTTGGGAATGTTTGTTCCTTAGGGTTCCTCCATATACTTGTAGTATAAATCCCAAGGCCTATATTTTGACGATTTGAGGTTTTCGGGTTTGGAGGTTATCAGAGTTTAGGATTCGCTCTTTCATCGGGGCTTACCATGAGGCCGCGGTAGGGTTCAGAGGTTTCGGGGCCGTGACACGTCATACGACTACGACCGGTTCTGAGAAAGAGGACTCCAGGCCCTAAGCCCTAACCCCTAAACCCAGTTCAGTGGAAATGCCCCTGCGAAGCATAGTGGCATAGGACGCTTGTGCTACTACCGCGACGACAGCTCTGAGATCCTGGACGATACGCGCTGGGTTGCGGAGATGTGCCTATGGGCCCTTTCCTCAGAGCAGGAAGGCTTCACACCCTGATCCCTATAGCCCCTGCACTCGGCACCCCAAGGCGTAAAGCCCTCCAGCTGGGAGCCCTAAGTTTTGCCTCGTTTTTCTGGGGAACTGGCGACACCGACGCCGAATCTCAAGACAAGTAATACCCTGCACAGTTGAATTGAGTAGACTGGTCGTACAAAGGTTGAAAGAGGCCCTTGAAGGAGTGGATGCAGCCAAAGGAAGCGTTTGAGGACCCTTTCACACGGGTCTGATGCTAATTTAGAGCGGTGTTTATTGGGCTTGATCCCCTGCGCATCTGAAGTTCTCGGGCTTCCGTCGCTTTCGTGATTAGTGTTCAGGGAACCCTGAACCCCAACCCCCGGAGCCCTCAACCCTAGACCCTAAACCCCTAAACCGCTAAACCCCTAAACCCCTAAACCGCTAAACACCGAAACCCCGAAACCCCGAAACCCCTAAACCCCTAAACCCCTAAACCCTAAACCCTGAACCCTAGGCGTCTCGGCCCGAGGTGACTGCAACGTTAGTTTCCTCCCTCGCGGAGGTCCGTTGTAGGATCCCGGCCGAAGGACCCAGCGAGGCCCCTAGGGGCGCCCGCGCCTGCATTGTCATAGCAGTTGTGTGACTTTGCAGGTTACAATATTCCTGGAACCGGCCCGGCTTTGCCGCTGGCCGCTGCCTAAGCCCGACCTCTGGTCGCTGGCTGAGGCTTTTTCCTCCCCTGTACGCGTTGCGAGGGGGAGTTGGTTTTTCTATGGGATATTTCTTCGGGCTGCTATTCACCAGTTGGATCGCCAGCCTGCCAAGCCCAAGCGTCTTTGAGCTCTACGAGCAAGACGGCTTCAGAGCCCGCGTACCACCGCCGGCGGAGGAGAAGACGAACGTGGGCACGGACACAGCTGCGCCTTGCACAAATCGGACAGGTACCTTGGTCTTCTACTCTGGTGCGTGCAATCCGAGTGCTGGAACAGCACCATTCCCGGTCTACTCTACCGGGAACAGTGAAGAGGCTCTTTGGCCTCAAGACAGCCACCATGCCGACCGGACAAGGACAGGCTTGGTGGTGCTACAGCTGTGGACGATGGTGCAAAGCCAGGGCCACATTCTGCGATGGATGTGGAACCAAGTGGGATCAAGGTGGCTGGACACAGAGCCCGAGAAGGCGCACTCCAGCTTCGCCAAGGCGACGACAGCCCTCGCCACGGAAAAAGGGCAAAGGGAAGGGCAAGCCGCCGGAAGATGCAGGCTTGCCAACGTCTTCGCAGCTCCCTGTGCCGCCTTCTATGCCGCCAGTTTTGAACAAGCCCAGCAGGCCCCGGAAGCCCAGCATGGCTACAGTGCCCGAAGCACCGGCAGCAGCGTCAACAAGCCAGGCGACGGAAGGACAGCTTGCAACACTGGTTCAGGCGATGAGTGCGCACAAGGATGCGCTCCCCGAGCCAATACGGGCGTTGCTGGCCGCGCAAGAGGAGGCCACAGCAGCGTCCCGTGCCAAGGTGATGCATCGAGCCGTCGCCTCACAGACGAACTGCCAGAAGCAGCTGGCCTCTCTAAGAGCCAGTCGCACTCAATATTTGCAAGGCTGGCAGAAGTATTTGGGCGACCTACTCACCAACCTGGAGAAGCAGCTCGAGGAGAAGAAGACAGTGATGGCAGACTTTGCCACCACCGAGGCCACCCTCGAGGAGACAATCGAGGCTGCGCGCGACCAGGTCCTACAAATGGCTGGTGGCGAAGTCAAGGCAGAGTCGGACGGCATGGAGACCGAGCCGACAGGCCTAGCGGAGGTGGCGGCGCCGGTGGCGCCAAGTGTGGCGGTGCCGGACCTACGTGCGAAGGAAGATGGCCTTCGAGAGGCCCTGTCCATGGCCAAGGAAGCCCTGGACCTGGAGCTGGCGGAGGTCAACCGCGAAAGGACGCCCAGACGCAAGTCGATCGAGATCTCGGACGACGAGCAGGGTTTATGAGAAGCCCGTGTCGGAGCCTAACGGGAACACACGGGCTAGTTATACCATGTATGCTGTGGCACACCATTATGCAGGAGCCGGATTTTGTGCATCCTTTGATGTCTACGCAGCTCGCTGCCCATGCCAGCTACATGAAGACCTCCTACGACGTTGAGGTTTACATTAGGGAAATGGACCCCCGAATTCTGCACTACGAGGGAAATTCCTCTGCTACGCCTGGGTGGGCTGGCCGAGGAAGTTCGGCTCCGATGTTCCGGCGCAGCGATGGCCACATGGACAGCCAGGCCATCCATGCCGCTGATGCCATCGGAGGTGCTTCTGACGCCGGCAGCGCCCAGTCCTGCAGGCGAAACAGCAATGCTGATGTCATGCTTTCCTGTGCAGCCGGGGTTGGCGGTGATAGGAAACCTGGCATCCTGAAAACATCGGCCTCAATGAGTGAACGTGATCTGCAGGCCTGTACAGATGTTTCAAAAGCAGTGAGGTTTGCAGAACCTGTAAACACCACTGTTGATTCTGAGAATGCGTTAGGAGTTTCTTCTGCAGTGCCTCCTCCACGGCCCTCCTCTCAGGTGCACCAGGCCGTATCTACTTCGGCCCCTTCTTCCGAGTTCTGCTGTCAGGCAGACCGTGCACTCCTTGGGGTCGTGGGCCCACTTCTACCGGGTGTGTCCAAGGTCGGTTCCGTGTCGAGCCTTGCACACCTCGATGCCGAGACACAGGACAGGCTGCAGCCACCAGACAGCAATGCGGCTGTCCTGCAGCATCCCACTGCCACCAACAGCGGGCTGGCAGTCGCACCACGAACCACCAATCTCGATGCTGTTTCGAGCCATGTACCTTCAGATTTCCTTGGGGTCGCGGGCCCATGCCACCCAGGATCGCTCAGGCTGCCTGTCGATACAGGGGAATCCAGGAACGGTCCTGTACCAGTTCTTTTGCCCCCTGATCTCCTTGGGGTCGCAGGCCCTCCAGCACTAGGTGTGTCCAAGGTCGGTTCCCTGTCGAGCCTTGCACACCTCACCACCGAAACAACACCCTTGCCATGCAGGTCTGCTGCACAGCCAGAGGTGCCTGCGACCGATGTTGTGTCGAGTCATGTCCCCTCCTCTTTCTTTGGGGTCGCGGGCCCTTCTGCACCCGGCGTGTTCAAGGTCGGTTCCCTGTCGAGCCTTGCACGCCTTGCCACTGACTCAGCATCCTCGCCATGCGGTTCGGCAGCACAGTGCGAGGCGCCTAAGACCGACGACGTGTCGAGTCATGCGCTCTCCTCTTCCCCTGGGGTCGTGGGCCCTCCTGCACTCAGTGTGTCCCAGGCCTCTTCCCCGTCATGCCCTGCACACCTCTCCACAAACGCGATATCATTGCCACAGGGATCTACAGCGCAGCCGGGGGTGTCCAAGATCGGTAACGTGTCGAGTCTTGCACCCTCCACTTTCCTTGGGGTCGCGGGCCCTGCTGCATCCTTTATGCACCAAGCTACCTCCTCGCTAGGTCAGGTCGCCTCCCCGCAAAAGCCCAGGCCGAGTCGACCGTGTTGGAGCAGCTGTCTGCATGCCCTGCCGCTGCTACAAAGAGCAGCTCCTTCCATCGCCACAGGGCGGGCCCTGGCCAGTCACCAAACGATGCGCACCAGGAGCCACACCAAACGCCGCTGGAGCCCAATGCACCGCCAGCACTGCTTGGCCGCGAAGGCCCGCCCAGACCCAACGACATCAGCAAGCTTAGGCTTGAACAGGATCCTCTTCCTCCCGGAGCATCTGGCCCGATACCCGGTGAATGAAATTCCTGTTGATCAGCTTGGCATCTACGCTTTGGAGCCAGGGCATGCCAGGAGAATACTAAAGTATTCTGTCTTCGACAGGCAGAGGCACCACCAGCAGCGCACGGCCGCCTACGGTTGGTCGCTCAACGACCTCGTCTCCGAAGCGGTGCGGTCGTCAGACGAACGCATCAAGACAGCGCAGGTTCTCACCACCACCATGCCCCAGCTAGCTGTCCCTCAAATCGTTCTCACTCCAGCAGATACGGCTCATAACCAGCTGTGCGTTCCTATCGACCTCCGGCCCCTGGGCGGTCGGCCTTGCACCTTGCTGTTACAAGAGGGCATGCCTGCGCAAGATGTCACACAAGAGGCGTTCCGCGCCTGCCCAGCTGGGCCTCTCTTTGTGCCGCCAAACGGGGAAGCCAGGGATCTGTTTCTAATCGATGCCCAGGGCAATGTTTGGGACGAGCTTCCGCCCGAACTGTCCCAGCTCCAATGGTTGAGGATTCAAGGCCGGCGCCCTCTTGACGTGCTGCAGACACATCCGCCAGAGCCGCAGTACGGGCCAACAGCACCGCGCCATCCGGCGGGGACCACCGCCCTCACTGCAACATGGGTGATGGAGCAGCAGAATGTACAGACCGTATCATTTATCCTTGCGGGATTAGGCATAACTGTGCGGCTGCACCCGCAACACATCAGCCAAGCTCGGGTGCCTGAGTCCATCGCCGACTTAGTGATGGCAATAGCCAGGCAGAGGAGATTGCCACCCAAAACACGAGTAGCTCTGGTAGCGGCCCAGCCAATGCCACTGCAGATCCAGCACATCGCCCTGCTCTTCATTATTTTTCCAGAGGATGATAGGAGGCATATCATCCTCGACCCATCGGGTGACGGATCGATGGCACAGTCCATATCGGTCGACGATCAAACCCGACCGGAAGAGCTGTTGGCGGAAGCACAGAGGCGACAGGGCTACGAGATCTCAGTCAACGGTATTCCTCAATCTGCCATGAGGCGAGGCATCTGCACAGGCGACTATGTTCAGGTTATTCACAACCCGAGGCGGCATAGAGTCTCCCCCACAGACTGGTACTACCAGATATACCCTGACCTTCGCCTCTTCGCCTTTCCGATCGAGTTCCCACGACTCCAAAGGGCCACGGCATTGCCTCTAGATGCCCTTGCCCAGACCCAGGTAAGAGACGGCCTCTTGAGGTACTTGCAGACCAGACTGGAGCAGCAGCGAGGCATCA